TTCTGATCCCCTTAACTGAATTAGGAGGCTGCAATTTTTCAATCACTTGTATCTTGACTTTGTCAACTTCAATGCCCTTTGAGGAAATCTTGTGGCCCAACACTATCCCTTCTTTCACCATGAAATGACATTTTTCCCAATTAAGCACTAGATTCTTCTCTTCACATCATTGTAATACAAGCGATAGTCGTTCCAAGCAATCATTAGAAGAATTCTCAAATACTGAAAAATCATCCATGAATATCTCAATGTATTTTTCCACCATGTCAGAGAATATGACCATCATGCACCGTTGAAAGGTTGCAGTGCATTGCATAAACCAAAAGGTATCCTTCTAAACGCAAAAGTTTCATAGGGGCATGTAAAGGTTGTTTTCTCCTGGTCTTCTAGAGCAATAACTATCTGACTGTATCCAGAATATCTGTCCAAATGGCAGTAAAGAGAATGACCGGCCAACCTCTCCAACATCTGATCAATAAATGGAAATGAAAAATGATCCTTTCTGATTGCATTGTTTAGCTTCCTGTAATCTATACATACTCTCCACCCTGTCACTAATCGTGTTGGTATCAGCTCGTTGTTTTCGTTCTTCTCCACTGTGATTCCACCCTTTTTAGGCACAATATACACTAGACTTACCCATGAACTATCAGAGATGGGATAAATAATACCTGCATCCAACAATTTCAGCACTTCTTTTCACGCTACTTCTTTCAAGGTTGAATTTAATCTACGTTTTCCTTCCACTGATGGCTTTGACCAATCCTCCATTAAAATCTTGTGCATACAATGAGTTGGATTGATTCCTTTGATGTCAGCTATTGTCCATCCAATTGCCGTTTTGTGCTGCTTGAGTACCTCCAACAATTTATTCTCCTTTTCCATTGTCATGTCATTTGCAATGATTACTGGAAGTATTGTAGATTCTCTCAAATATGCATAACAGAGATGTGAAGGCAAGGGCTTTAGTTCAAGAGTGGGTGCCTTGTCCACTGAGGGCACCGGGGGTGAAAGATTGTCACCAAGAGATTCAAACTGTCAATGTCTCCTTCCTATTGGTTTCTCGGCAAAGTTAATAACCCATTCAGCTTTTCCTGCAATTGTTGCTTCCGACTGCATAAGTTCCGCCTCACAAAGATTTGTTCGATACTCTATCTCAAATGTATCTACCATAAGTTCTTCAAGAATATCTACTTGGCAACAAGTGTTTGAAGTCAATGGATGTTTCATCACCTTGAACATGTTGAATATGAAGTAATTAACAATGTCTGCATACCACGGAGCCTTTTCTATCTATAATAACTGTTCATCTAGAAAGACCTCATTAATATCCATGTCATCTGAATCACGCAGTTGCTCTAGCCTTGATAAATGATCCGTTACAAGATTTTTTGTACCTTTTTGTCGTGAATTTCAATGTCAAACTCTTGCAGTAACATAACCCATCGAATCAACCTAGGTTTAGCATCCTTATTCTCAAACAGATATTTCAATGCTGCATGGTCAGTGTAAACTATAACCTTTGAACCAATCAGATAGGAGCGAAATTTGTCGAAGGCAAAGACCATTGGTAGCATCTCTTTTTCTGTTGTTGCATAATTGATCTGAGCATCTGTCAAGATTTTGCTGGCATAGTAGATTACATGTAACACTTTGCCTTTACGTTGGCCAAGCACCGCTCCACTGCAAACTCACTAGCATCACACGTAAGTTCGTAAGGTAGATCCCAATTAGGTGCTACTATCACAGGTGTAGAAGTTAACTTTTCTTTCAAAGTATTAAAGACGTTTAAGCACTCATCAGAAAAGTGAAATGACACATCCTTCTCCAATAGATTACATGGAGGTTTTGTAATTTTTGAGAAATCTTGAATCAACCTTTTGTAAAATCCTTCATGTCCTAAGAAATTTCTGATCCCCTTAACTGAATTAGGAGGCTGCAATTTTTCAATCACTTGTATCTTGACTTTGTCAACTTCAATGCCCTTTGAGGAAATCTTGTGGCCCAACACTATCCCTTCTTTCACCATGAAATGACATTTTTCCCAATTAAGCACTAGATTCTTCTCTTCACATCATTGTAATACAAGCGATAGTCGTTCCAAGCAATCATTAGAAGAATTCTCAAATACTGAAAAATCATCCATGAATATCTCAATGTATTTTTCCACCATGTCAGAGAATATGACCATCATGCACCGTTGAAAGGTTGCAGTGCATTGCATAAACCAAAAGGTATCCTTCTAAACGCAAAAGTTTCATAGGGGCATGTAAAGGTTGTTTTCTCCTGGTCTTCTAGAGCAATAACTATCTGACTGTATCCAGAATATCTGTCCAAATGGCAGTAAAGAGAATGACCGGCCAACCTCTCCAACATCTGATCAATAAATGGAAATGAAAAATGATCCTTTCTGATTGCATTGTTTAGCTTCCTGTAATCTATACATACTCTCCACCCTGTCACTAATCGTGTTGGTATCAGCTCGTTGTTTTCGTTCTTCTCCACTGTGATTCCACCCTTTTTAGGCACAATATACACTAGACTTACCCATGAACTATCAGAGATGGGATAAATAATACCTGCATCCAACAATTTCAGCACTTCTTTTCGCGCTACTTCTTTCAAGGTTGAATTTAATCTACGTTGTCCTTCCACTGATGGCTTTGACCAGTCCTCCATTAAAATCTTGTAATCTATACATACTCTCCACCCTGTCACTAATCGTGTTGGTATCAGCTCGTTGTTTTCGTTCTTCTCCACTGTGATTCCACCCTTTTTAGGCACAATATACACTAGACTTACCCATGAACTATCAGAGATGGGATAAATAATACCTGCATCCAACTCTTTCAAGGTTGAATTTAATCTACGTTTTCCTTCCACTGATGGCTTTGACCAATCCTCCATTAAAATCTTGTGCATACAATGAGTTGGATTGATTCCTTTGATGTCAGCTATTGTCCATCCAATTGCCGTTTTGTGCTGCTTGAGTACCTCCAACAATTTATTCTCCTTTTCCATTGTCATGTCATTTGCAATGATTACTGGAAGTATTGTAGATTCTCTCAAATATGCATAACAGAGATGTGAAGGCAAGGGCTTTAGTTCAAGAGTGGGTGCCTTGTCCACTGAGGGCACCGGGGGTGAAAGATTATCACCAAGAGATTCAAACTGTCAATATCTCCTTCCTATTGGTTGCTCGACAAAGTTAATAACCCATTCAGCTTTTCCTGCAATTGTTGCTTCCGACTGCATAAGTTCCGCCTCACAAAGATTTGTTCGATACTCTATCTCAAATGTATCTACCATAAGTTCTTCAAGAATATCTACTTGGCAACAAGTGTCTGAAGTCAATGGATGTTTCATCACCTTGAACATGTTGAATATGACTTGCTCATTGTCCACCCGAAAAATCATCTTTCCATCGTAAACATCAATCAGCGCTCTTCCGGTAGCTAAGAAGGGTCTTCCCAAGATTAGAAGTATGTTTGAATCCTCCTCCATGTCCAAAACGATGAAGTCAGCAAAAAAATGAATTTATCAATTTTGACTAGCACATCTTCAATAATTCCCTTCGATCGTTTGATTGATCTATCAGCCAAATGCAATGAGATTGTTGTAGGTTTTGCTTCCCCAATCCAAGAGACCTGTAAACAGAGAGAGGCATTAAATTAACACGGGCACCTAAATCGCATAAAGAATGTTCAAAATAATTAGAAATAATTATGCAAGGTATCGTGAAACTCCATGGGTCTTTTAGTTTAGGGGGTGGCTTCTTCAATAGAATAGCACTGCACTCCTCGTTCAGGTAGACAGTCTCATGATCTTCTAGCTTCCTTTTATTAGACAAGATCTCCTTCAAGAATTTAGCATAGCTGGGCATTTGGCTATTGCATCTGCAAACAGAATATTGATGTGCAGTTTCTTGAAAATCTCTACAAACTTGGCAAACTACTTGTCCAACTTTTTTCTTTGTAACCTTTGAGGAAAGGGAATTGGTGCACATAAGCTTTCACGAGGCTGGGTGCTCTCACTGTGGGTGTTTCTTTCCTTTTATCCTCCTAGTTAGTTAGTTGTTCAGACTCTGCTTCTATCCCAGCCTCTTCAACCATTACCTCTTTGTCTTCTCTGTCTGGTCTCTTTACATGAATCTCTGGAAGTTACACCCCACTTCTAGTTGTAATAGCTTGCACTTGCTCTTTCAGATTGATCATTGTGTTGTTTGACAATGTCCCTTGCGAGTGTTCTTTAAGCTGTTGAGCTATCTGACGAATTTGTATTTCCAGCTTGATGCTTGCTGATTCTGAAAGTTAGTGTCAATCTGCTAGAACAACTTGTCTGTCTTCTACATGTACTGGTTGAACATCTCCCCCAAACTTGGTTTTTTCTCTGGCTGGTTATTGTTTAAACTGCTCCCTTGCTGACTATTCGACCATCTGAAGTTTGGGTGATGCCTCCATCTTGTGTTATATGTTTGTGAAAAGGGATTAAAATTTCGAGAGCCACTTTGAATGAAGTTGATTTGCTCCTTCGGAAATCCCAAAAATGTACAATTTTCTATTAGATGATTAGCCCCACATTTTTTGCATGATGGACCGGCTATCACTACATGTGCTCCTTTTGTTTGTGACTTCACCAACAACTCTATTTATTTTGTCAATGCTGCTATTTGGGCGTTGGTAGATGCCGTGTTGTCTAATTCATATATTTTCGCTGCTTTTGGAGGCACCACTCTTTCTGATGAAAACATGAAATGAGTAGTGGCAATCAACTCAAATAGATCCATACATTGTTGCACTGATTTCCTTATGATCAATCCGCCTGTAAAGTAATCCACTTAAGATTTGGACAATGGTGAAAGTCCAGTGTAGAAATACTGCACTTGATTTCCAATAGTGATCCCATGATTTGGACACTTCCTCATCAGCTCCTTAAATCTGTTCCAGGCCTCGTGATAGTTCTCCCCATCTTTCTGTTGAAAAGTTTGAATTTTCAGTCTGATTTTTGCTACTTTAGCTGGTGGAAAGAACTTATTACAGAATTTCCTGGTCAGTTTCTCCTATGTGGTAATACTTCCAACCGGTTAGGCATCCAGCCATTCCAATACTGCATCTCTCAGTGTATATGGGAATAATCATAGCTTGATGGCGTCCTATTTAACCCCATGAGCATGACAATTCTGGCAATTTCTGAGAAATTTGGAGATATGTGTGTTTGCATTCTCATGGGATAGCCCGTAGAATTGCAAAGTGTTGCTCATCAAAT